AAAGTATTTTAGAGACAAAAATATTAAAAATCATTTTATACAAAAAGTTAAAGGGAATAAATTAATCAAGTAAAGAAATTAGGAAATGTAAGTAAATAATAAGAAAAGTAATAAAAACATGAACCTTCAATTACCCTCGGAATCTTGTCAGCCGAATACACGACAATTTATACAATCAAATATTCTTTAGCTTGCCATAGACCAAATAAAAATTTAGTTGATATTTTATTTCATTACTCACCTTTATATTTCTCAATTTGTGTCAATTAAATATTCGACGTTACTGAAAAAATTGCATTTTCACATTTATATCCTCAATTGGGCGGGGGGGAGGGAGGGGCTTGAAGGACAAGGCGCATAAGTGCAGTTTTCGCTATTTCGACAAAAACGTGTTAAAAGTTTATAAATTATATGAAGCCTCATGGCGGAGAGAAAGTTCCAACTCACATGTTGATGCTTAAAAATTGGATTTTATCAGTGAATTTTTCACAGAATTTATTTCAAACCTAGATTTAGTTGAAATCACTAATATGTCGATTTTTTCGAAAACTGCACTTATGCGCCTTTTCCTTAAGCCTCTCAATTACTTTTTTACCCTTTCTTATTAACTTTTTATGTCATCAAACCGAAACCGACAAACTTTGGTAAAAATACCGGGTAATACTAAGTTTCTTGAAAATAAGTCGATAAACAGGTATGTTACAAATTAAGGCCGCCATCTTTTTTCCGCCATCTTCTTGCCGACATCTTGAATTTTGATTTTGACTACAATTAATATCAAATTCAAAATGTACAGGTCAAAATACCAGGGTATACTGAGTTTCATGAAAATCCGGCGATAAACAAGTAGTTTCCAAATTATGGGCGCCATCTTTAATTTTTAAAAATTATGGCCACCACCTTCTTCCCGCCATCTTTGATTTCAATTCTGGTTAGAACCAACACCGAATTCAAATTCTCTAGGTCAAAATACAGGGTTTTACTAAGTTTCATGCAAATCAGTCGATAAACAGGTATCTAACAAATTACTGCCGCCATCTTCTTTTCCGCCATCTTGAATTTTGATTCAGACTGAAAGTAACGTCAAATTCGAATTTCCTAGGTCGATATACTGGGATACACCAAATTTCATGAAAATCTGCCGACAAATAGATGTTTTGCAGTTTTTTTCTTAGAATCTTTAACTGCGATAGTCTAAACGGTGAACGAATCAGATAAGCCCCCCCCCCCCCCCCCGGGGTCCACCATCCCTCTAAGTGCTTCTCCCTTTACTATGTACCATGGCTATCAAATTAATAACAAAATTTATTTCAAAAATAGTCGAATATTCGGGAAAAAGGTTCACACTGATCGAAATTCCAGCCAAAATTTACAAAAAGTAAAAAATGTCAAATTTGACACCATTCCATAAAGGCCCTATAAAGGTCTTTAACCTTCAGTTAAATTTTGATGTAATATGTGTTTTCAAAAGAAAATTTCATGCTCTTTCCAATGGTACCAACAGTTTTGAGAGAAAAAATTCTTCCATTGCTGTATCTTAAAAGTTACAAACCAAACTTGAAATTTCAAGAAAATTCTAGTCTTTTTTTTCGGTGTCTGACCTCGTAGCTCGGCACCAACAAGTCAAAATTAAAAAAACTAATATATATTCGTGAGCAGAATTTTATACTCTAAAAAAACGACAGGAATGATTTTTTTCACTGGATGCACTAGAATCACGCAAAATCGGGAAAACGGTGACGAAGTCAACAATCAATTTATCCGTTATTTCAGACGGCCGCCATTTTGTCCTACGCAATTTTGAATGTGTTCCCGAGGGGGGCTAATGGTAAACTTTTTTTTGGGGGCTCTAGACATGTTTTGGAGCGCTTTAAAACACAAGAGAAGTTTGTGCTAATTTGTCCGAGGTTAGACCCTTTTTTTGGCTAGATTGACTGGACTAATAAGCCACCGTGTTACAAAATGCCGTTGGGTTCACAAATGGTTCACAATTTTCGGAGCACACGCGGCTCGGAAACGCCTGTTAATGGATTGGCTTCATCGGCGCTCCAGTACTTTGCGACTCTATTGTACTCTATGAGCAAAGTAAGGCGACGGCGACGCGGAGCGCCCATTTACCTCCGCCGCACAGAAAATAGTCCGGGTTCAATCGCGAATATCTCAGCTTCTACTTGTAAAAGTGAGCTAATTTTTTGGCTTTCCCTTAATTATGAACTTTATAACAATCTATTAAAGTTTCATCGATTTTCACCGAGAGCCGCTGAGCCCATGCTCTGTGCGGGGTTCTTTTTAGCACAAATCAATTGCGAACATCGGGTGCTTTGAAGAGCAGCATTCTGTTTATTCATGCCGTCCGTGGGTATGATACCACTTCAGCATAGCGTGGCAATGGGAAAGGCAAATTTATTAAACTGTTAAAAAAATGAGGCAAAGTCTCTCGTATTGCTGCGAAATTTGATGAAACCAACTGCACTCAAGATGAGCTTTGTCAAGCGGATGAACAACTCATTTTTTGCTGTGCGGTGCTGAAAAATCAGTTACTGCTTTGAACCAATGCTAATTTCAATGTTTTAATCGTGCTTTGGCAAGGCACAAAACTGTGGTGAAACTGTAAACGTTGCTCCCAACTTCAGATGCATGCAAAGAACACTATCTACGCGTATATTTTCAAGTTTAACTATTGAGAGGAAGAAAACCGAATCAGTGAATCCCAAGGAATAGAGGTGGAAATCTTCGGCACTCGGGCTCCTTCCTGTGCCTATGCGTCAACACAAACAACCTGCCTGCCCCCCAAGACATTTTACAGATCATCTCATGAACAAGTTCGAAAGGGTGTGGTAACCGCTGCTCTTATAAGAGAGCTGGTCTACCATGCAGTGATATTTGTCTACACTCTTTCGGCTTGGGTTGCAACAATCAAGCAGAAACACTGATCAAGGAGGAAGTAGAGGATGAATTTAAAGTGGCAACAACCGCTGAAGGTAATAAACGAGGAAATGCTTGTCTCCCTTTTTCTATATTTTGTATTAATTAATTTCCCTTCAGTTACTTTGAAAAAAGAAGATTTGTTGTTTAACATATTGTATTTGATTAAGAAAGCATAGCATTATAACATTATCTTCAATCGTGACCATTGACAGTTAGGTATTAACTATAGGTACAACTAGAATGAAATAAGGGGGGGGGGGAGAAGTTCAATGATAAAATGAAATGAGTTTAAACTTAAACTAGGGGGCCCTGCCCCCTGACCGTTACGCGGCCCAACCCCCGGGAGGGCGCCTCGCGCCCGCAGCCCGCTTCGCGGGCTCTATACGCATGTGTATAGGCAAAAATTTTCTTCCAGTTTAATACACCATTTTGTGTTCGAGCTGCATCGATTACAAAATTTTTGACGTAACACTCAGATTTGTAAATTATGAGGAATAGCTGGCAGTACATAATTTCACAGTCCACTTACTGGAGAAATTTCCATTTCTTACATTAATTTTAAATACTTAATTTAAAAAAAAAAAAAAAAAAATCGGATTTCGACCGTTAAGAGGTAATGATATTTACTCCGTCCCGACGCGACGCAGCGCCTGCCTTCTCACTTTATCTGCTGTTTATCGCTATAAATATTAATAGAAATTCTGCAATCAAGTAAATGGACCAATGTCACAAATCGAATCCGGAAGAATCCAGGAAAAATTGAGTTAAACCTCATACCTTGGACCTTGAACCTTGAACCCTGAGCGATGCACCGTTCCTCAACTCTTCAAATGAGGATCCCTTCACGAGCTTTTCCATTGTTTTATTGTTCATTCGAGTCACTTAGGTAGAATCCCACACCCTGACGTTTCTAGCGGAAACGACATATCTCTCACGCTATTAACATTGGAATTCAGTGACATGAGCTTTAAAAGCTCTACAACATAAAGTTTTAAAAGTTCGGGGTTTCATAATTTTTTGCACATCTACATCTACTACAGATGACATACACGTAAAGATCATCCTTATCGGTCCGGCAGTTCGTCAGAAATAGTGCTTCCAAGATTTTGCTTGTAGCTGTATAATATAGAGATGGATAATGTAACTTACCTTCGCGGTAAATCTACCAAAAAGGTGAAGCTGTTTCGTCTTGGGCCGCAACAATTCATGGCGCGGCCAAGCCGAGCCTCACCGCGTAGTGGCCGCCGTTGGTTCGGACCGCATAGCGCTCCGGGGGCGGACCCCCTAGTAAATGTATAAGCATTTTTAGCATGGACATTTTATGCTCTTTTATTTTGGTAAGAACAGTTTTTTGCCTCAGACTCGCCGTTTTTAAGATAATTACAGATTTCGTTGAAAAAACACGATTTCACGCAAGATTCGACTTTCCTAGCCGCATGAAACTATCGCCATATCTCACGAACCAGAAGTCGCAATTAGATAAATGTAGTGTTTCTAATAGGAAATTTTATGATCTTTTTAAAAGATTCTTTAACATTTGTCCGTAGGATTGATATTTTTCAAGATATAAGCTAAAAACCGGTCGCCGGCGGCGTATTTTGGCCCCCCGCCCCCCTCTTTTCAAGATGGCGGCCTTAGCGGACAGCCGATGTAGGTAAACTTTTTATATGTTGTTCTGGTAGCCTATTGCAACATGTTTCCGCGAAAAAACCTTCTATATATTAATCAGGGGGCATACGTATTCCCGTCTGCAGGTTCGTGAAGGCATGTTGTGCGATACATCAATCTCTTCGTTTTGATGTCTAGAAAAAGAAAATATTGTTTTTCATCATTATTTAAAATGGCATAAAAAGGGCGACTCATCTTAAACCAGAAAAAGATTCCTTGGCGGAAAATGTACGCAGCTGGTCATAACCTTCCTCCAAAAAATTAATGGATAAAGCCTCCCCCCCCCCCAAAAAAAAAAAACCTATGTTGCCATATTTTATTGTCTAACATCACAGAAAACCGCGTAATGAGCTTGTTAACCTGTTTCTAATTCTTGCATTTTCAGAAACTACATTGTCTCCTGATCACGCAGGAATTTTTTCAGATTTTTCCGAGCAGTTTTTCCCTCCGAAAACGACTTTTGAAGTTCGAAATTTTAAAATGCCGCGTTTGCCCGCGTTTTAGCGGCAATCCAAAATGGCGCCGGAATTACCCCCTGAGATTTGACCACACATCTCCGCTGACGTACCTCTGTTGAGAGGGACAACCTAAGCCGGCTTGTGAACAGTAAACAACAACAAATCCGTTCTCATATCACTGACGCAACAGGTGTTTGTGTTCGTTTTTTGTCCACGGTGATTGTGTTTTTTGTCGTTTTAGTTTTTCGCAATGTCGAGAAAGGTAAATTATGTGTACTGTTTTGTGCCATCGTGCAAAAACACTTCAGTATCAACTCCGGAGAAGATATTTTTTTCCGTGCCTTATGGTGAGCTGAGGAAAGAGTGGTGTGGGGCTGTGGGTCGAAGCCCCAACTCTTTGAGTGAAAAGACCCACCGAAAATGCTGCGAAGACCATTTTAATGTGAGTAACAAATATCTTTACGTATGTCTCCTTTTACTTTTAATGAAGGAAGGTGTCTCAATGAGCTTCCTACTGTGATTAGTTATGACGTATCCATTTTGATTCAAAGCAAAGCAAGAAATTCAAGCTCGATCAGCTCATTTTATTTAGACATGGAACCTAAGAATTCCACACATATGATGACTCCAGTGACCATTTTCTCTCCAGATCAATCATTTCAGGACTCCTGTAGCCTGATTGTTGAAATATTATGTTTGTCGACCCGATTAAACAAAATAAAAAAGGAATAGAGTAACGTGAATGGCCAGCTTTATCAATCGTTCTCTTTGCCGTGCCCACAAAGGATGGATTTGACGATTTGGTGTTGGCAACTTAAGAGGTTCCTTTAGCTTCTCGTTGACTTCATAAATACATCCTTAACTGGCACAACAAAGAAGATGACTCACAAAACCGACCAATCGCATGAATACATTTTCCTTCATCTTGTCTTATCTGATCTGATCCACAAGCACAAAATTTCAACATTCAGGCTGCAGGTAGCTGTGCTAAGCTCCTGCAGTCATTGCTAAGGTCTTAAGCTCTAGGGAAGAGCTAATTTGAGTCGACAGATGGAGCGTTCAGTTTTACTTAAGTTGGTAGAAATATGCCATATCTTATTACTATGCAGTTCATTTAATCAGTTGGATCTACTTAAAAGACAAGAAGAAGTATGTCCGTTATGACCTGGGCCCTGAGACTGTTAAGAATGTATGAATGATCAGGTCCATATTGTAAGAAAGATAGTTCCTTTTGATTTAAATATTTCCAGTTACTCACCCATCTAAAATTTCAAGTTTGTGAAGATGCAAAGTAAATTAGTTGCCATGATTTTTAATAGAGTTTGCATTCAACTTGCTTCCGGTGCTTTCTGGAGTCTTTTCAGTTGACTTCCTGTTTTCAGAGATCCATCACAAAATTACAGATAGCCTTTACTTTAATATTCTCTCATTTCCTTCATATTGATAAAAGTAAGGTTGTATATTTATCACTATCTATTTCTTTATTACAGCTGGAGGAAGATGTTACAAACTGGTTTGAGTACAAGATCATCAAGGAGGCCGGCACCGAAACTGCCCTCCCAACTTTGAGACTTAGGAAGGGAGTTCTGCCAAAAATCGTTGTAAGTACTTGAGATAAGAAGTATTTTTAAATTTTTAGGGGGAGAGGGGGCAAGGCTCCCTGTCTACCAATGGATTTCCATTTAAACACAATTTCTCTCACTTAGTATATTCTTCATAGTGAGACATTTCCTTGAATTGATACCTAATCACAAAACTGATAGAAATTCAGTCATTAAATTTACCAGGGTGAACAATCAAGCAAAGCCACACTAAAAAAATTCCTTACGTGAAAGAAGATTGCAAATGGTGCCTAGTCATAACATGACTAAACGAGAGAATCCCTAACAGGTGTAAATGAGAGCATAATGGTAAAATATATAGCTTCAAAATCGGGTGATGGAGAATTTATGATTCCAAAGTGCACCTGTAGCCTTTTTAACAGATGATGAAATTGTATAGGTACTACTGCTCTCATTCAAAGATGGTGAAATAAACGCCAGTATTTTTCCATTTCACAATCTGCCCACACGAAAATTACCCAGATAGAAAGCTTGAGATCTATACTGTTATCCCTTAATATTAGTCTTTTCTGTCTTTTGATTTTGGCATTCACGCAACTTTTCGATCCTCGTGTAAAATATTTGACCTTCTTTTGCTAAGTAACCAAAGTATTTTTTTCTCTTATAGAATGCTGAAAATATCGAGCTTCCTGGTAGAGGGGAGACAGCTGATAATGTTCATAATACCGGAGACGATTTTCAAAATCAGGTACCTTTTTCCTTCATTTTTATTAAAGTTGTTATTTTTTTCTTTTTCGAATAGTTTCTTTCAGACAGTTTGTTGGAAATTTTGCTAATGTGCATTCAAATTCGGTGTCAAACTGAGGGTCTCATCTCAAAGGGATGCAGCTCATATTCCATCACAATTCCTCTTCAAATAGATAGTGAAATAGATCCTGTAGATAGTGGAATAAACGTCAGTATTTTTCCATTTTACAATCTGCCCATACGAAAATTACCCAGGAGTAGAATGCTTGACATCTATACTGTTATCCCTTAATATTAGTCTTTTCTGGCTTTTGATTTTGGCATTTACGCAACTTCTCGATCCTCATGTAAAATATTTGGCTTTCTTTTGCTGACTAATTTTTTTTTTTCTCTTAAAGAATCCTGAAAATATCGAACCTGCTGATGGAGGGGAGACAGCCGATATTGTTCATAATCCCGGAGACGATTTTCAACTGATACCAGAGACAGGTGATATTGTTCATAATTCTGGAGACGATTTTCAACTGATACCAGAGACAGGTGATATTGTTGATGATCCCAAGGACAATTTTCTAAATCAGGTACCTTTTTCCTTCATTTTTATTAAAGTTGTTATTTTTTTATTTTTTGAATAGTTTCTTCAGACAGTTTGTTGGAAATTTTGCTAATGTGCATTCAAATTCGGTGTAAAACTGAGATTCTCATCTCAAAGAGATACAGCTCATTCCATCACAATTCCTCTTCAAAGAAATGTGCTGTTTTTGTGCAACACCAGTTATGATCAATCAGGAAGGCAACTACAGACGTGTCTCAAATTCCATCATCAGTGCAACACAGCCCTCATGATTCTCTGCTTTCAAGATTCTGTGTAATGATAATTCCAGTTTCATACTGACTTTTAACGAATGTTGACAAAATTACCAACACTCTGTCTAAACGACTTGTACATTAAACAGCAATCTATTTGTAGGTTTTTTTTTCCCCTCTCTCTATCACAAACTAAATGACTTGCTCATCTAAAAATTTTAGTTTATTTTGCTGACTAATATATTTATTTGTTTCGTAGATTACTGAAAATATCGAAGGCGGAGAGATATTGAGTTCGGTTAAAGTCTACGTTCGCACTGAAGAAAATTCCGCACAGGTACCTTAAAGGCTATTATACCATATTTTCCTTCTAGTTTTTAATTGCACCTAATTTTTTAATGAATTTCAATTTTCATTTTAATTTGTGCGCTTGTTTGGTCAAAAGACTGCCTACATTGAGACCATTCTGTTGAAAATAACAGCGCTGTATATTTATTTTTTCCAATGCCAGACTGGTTGCATCAATACTAAAAAGAAAAAAAAGAAAAGCACATGCAGTTCATAATGAATTTACATAGAAGAATTAGAGAAGCATTTATTTCGGTTTCAGTATTACCATCTGTCAACCATGTTTCCAAATTTTTAAGTTTTACATAATTTCTCTTTACCTGTAAAACATTATCAAGCAAAAATCTCACAAGTTTTTTTTAAGAATATACTGAGTGCTAAAATTTTTTAATATTGCATTTGTGCTACTTGTTTCACCATCATGTGAAAAGCACAATTCACAAGCATTGTGTTTATTTTTCTGAATGAATTTTTACTCCTGGAAAGTCGAGCGTTTTCTTCTGAGGTCTTTGGGTAAATCAAAAAGCTTTGTACGATCAACTGCCATGTAATTTCAGTAAATTTGGTATACAGTGTTAATACTACAAGAACCTATCATATATCACTCCACATTATACATTTTATTACACATATCATACTACATATTATTACAATATTGTACTTCTTAAGCACTATCAACAATTACAGTCTATATAATACAATGATAACAAATTTCTGTAATCACTGGTAAACTTAATATTTTTAAGTCAACATGCGTAGAATTGTGTCAAATATCAGTTATGGTGGGCACATAAAAAGTGTCTCTTTATGCGACTAATTATAGTGAGTCATCATCTGAAAAATTACTAGAAAAATGTGACCTTTTCAAGTAGTCATAGAATAAGAATATGAAATGAGAATAGCTGTTAGGGGAAAAATATTCAAGATGATCTTTCTTCACAATAGCACCTGTCATTGTTATGAGTGGTAGTAAACTTAATTCAAGGGTCAAAACAATATTTTACGAGCTACCAACATTTTTTGCAGGGTAGAAGCGTATTCGCTGTGTTTCTATTTTTTTAAGGGCTCAAAGGTCTGCCGACAGAGTCTTCCAACAGGTTTTTTTTACATATTAAAGTCAGAGATATTACAGAAGGAGGGGAGAGATAATTTTTTATGCCATCCAAAATCACCAGAATCCTTGTTCTGAGAAAGTAAGCTTTCACGGATGGCTGTTAACTATTTGAGATTCTTCCCTCAGACGCTCTACCATTGTTCCTCTCGTATTATTTCTTTCTTCATTATAATATATTTTTTTTTTTTTTCATATTTCAGGGGACAAAAAGAAAGTTGGATAAGGCCAATCAAGTTAATTTACAACTCTCTACTGTTCACAAAAGGACCCAGGTTAATTTACGACCCTCAACTGTCAATCAGGAGACCCAGACATCACCAATCAAAAATCGATCTGGAAGTTGGACAGTGAAGGAAAAGAAAAGGTTTAAGGAAGATAATTCTGAGAGCGAGTTGGAGAAAACCCTTTCTCAGTCATCTGATAAATCTTGGCACCCATCTCACACATCGCAGAGCTCATCACAAAGCTCTCAAAATTCCACAAAAGAAGAGCTCCTAAGTGTACAGCTGAAAACCATTTTTGTTGATTTGAATGTCAAGCTTATGGAAAAGTACCCCAAAAGATACCTAGGCATTCCAAAGGATAAGTTAGGATTAATTGAAGTCTTAATAACCTTTTCTAAATGTACAAAAATGAATATATATAGAGCTCTTAGAAAAATCCGAAAAAACGAATCTCTGGATGATCTTGCAGATGTTTTTGGAGTTTCGAAAACAGCCGTTTCGAAATCCATCAATAATACAATCCCTGAACTTGCAGCATGCCTGTCTACTTACATTATTTGGCCACCCTCAAATATAATTAAAAGCAATTTGCCTGCTTCTTTTAGGATTAATTATGCGAATGTTGAGACAATCATCGATTGTTTTGAGATTTTCATAACTCGTCCGTCTGATCCTGTAACACAAGCACTTGTCTATTCCGAATACAAACACCATCATACAATGAAATACTTAATATCTGTTACTCCGGATGGTCTTATTAATTTTATTTCTAAAGGCTATGGTGGAAGAGCCACTGATGTTCAGATTGTTAAAACTTCTGGCTACCTTGATCATTTGAAACCAGGCATGGTTGTCATGACTGATAGGGGTTTTAAGGAATTAGCCCCAATTCTTATTCAAAAGAAATGTACTCTTGTTAAGCCACCCAGCGTAAAACAAGGGGTGAAGCTCAATAAAAATGATGCTAGAGTGGCTAAGATAGTTGCAAGCCTCAGGATGAATGTTGAGCGTGTTATTGGGAGAATCAGAGAATTTCACTTATTTTATGCGCCGCCTTTTCATCACAACCTGTTGCACCTTGCAGATCAGTCTGTAACCATTGGATGTGCATTAGCAAATGTTCAAAACCCTCTGTATGTGTGAACAAGCTTTCAGTTTTGATTCCTCTACTAATTAGCTCAACATTCAAACTGTATCCAGAAAATTTTGTAACTTATTTCACTTCTATCGTAACAACAGAAAGCTCTTCAATCAGTGTGTAGGCAACACATATAGAACTCTAGCACAATAGTAATAATCTTACCATGTAATATCAATTAAAGTAATTCGATGGACACCATATTTTGGGTCAGAACGACGTGCAATATATCGCATCAATTTATTTCATGTTTTCAGATACTTATCATTTTTCTCCAATTTTGACATGACATTTCTTTTATCACGAGACTAAAAAATTTACTTACCAAACTTAACAAAGGAAGTCATTGTAATGAAGGCAGGGTTTAGTTAGAGGAAAAATATTGCATTCGAGTGTTGTTTCGATATCAGTATCGAATGTGACATTTCTCCTCTAAAAAAAAACCTTAACTTCATCAGGATGAACTTGCTCGTTAAATTTGGTAAGTGAATTCTTTAGTCTTGTAACGACAGAAAAGCAATTTCAAAATATGAGAAAAATTACAAATAGCCAAAAACATAGAACCAGTGGATCCAATTCATTGCACGTTGTTCTGACACAAAATATGACGTCCATCAAATCACCTTACTTATAATCTGTGCTTCTTGGTAGTCAGAAGTTTTACATTAGAAATCTCAAAGCAGTCAACCCTCTATGGCATAAATCAATTTTAGGTTTTGGATTCTGGGGGACACAAATCTCTCCTAAAGCTTTCGTAAAGACATAGACATTTCTCCACTAAAATTACAAAATTTTGGTAATAATTTTTTTTTTTTTAAACACTTGGCAATATTATGTCACGGAGATTTAATCCAATTTTTAAAGAACCAAGAAACGGGTTGTTACGACTAAGTAACATTATGCCATAGAGGGTTTATGAAGGTCTCAACATTCTCAATCTGTTCGATTATTCCTAAAAGGAGCTGGTAGAGTAATGCTGCGTCCACCCCATTCTGTCAGGAAATCAAAGCCAAAAACAAGGAAACTGGCATTAAAGTCACAAAATGAACTCTAATGAGTTCTTGTGCAAGACTGAGGGGGAAGTGTGATGTTCAGGCAGATGTATTGGAGTATTATTGCACTACATCTGCCTGAGCTTAACACTCTCCCCTTTCAGCCGTGCACTGAAACTAATTGAAGTTCATTTTTTGAAATTCAATGCTAATTTTTGGATTTTTTGACATCAAATTCCTTGCAGAACAGCATGGACCAAGCACTTTTCTACAATCTTGTTGTTCACAGTATTCACGCCACATTTTTAGTGTTTTTATCTTGTTGCATCAGAACTTTTGCTGAAACTTCAAAAATATCTGCAAGATCATTTAAGGGTTCGTTCTAATTGGAAGTATAAGTTTTCAGTCACCGAATTATTTACAGTCCTAAGTTGAACTGGTCTCATTTGTAAAACTTGCAGTTTTAAGACCGATTCAGCCTCCTTTTTGAGCCAAGCATTGCAAGTTCTGTCAGACACAATTTACAGTCAGTTTACTTTCACTCAAAATTTTCAATTTGGTGTTTCATTTTTTCCCTCTAAATCAGGCGCTAGTTTAATTGTAGTTAAAAACAAAATTTCTCAAAGCTGTCAGCAATTTTTTAAACGTGCATAGTCTTTAAGACTGTCTGGTCAGAAATATCATCATGTACAATGTGTCGGCTTAAATGGCCTATTTCATTTAAAAAGATAGATTAATATTGTATTTATATGATGAAGGAACCACATTGAAGCCATATAATATTTTAATTTTGACTTACAAAGTACTTTCAATTTTTAGAAGGTTTATAGTAAACAGATGGTTGATGGAATTTTAAGTTTCATCAATAAAATGAGCGTCAGAAAATATCCATTTTCATTTTGTTGAAGAGGTTGCATCCTTGAATAAAATGAGTGTTGTAATATCCATTTTAATTCTTTTTAAGAAGTTGCATCCTTGCATTATATTTAATGTACAATAGTTTTACCGTTTCACTTGTTTTCAATTTTGTCTAGTCAATATCTGTTTTAGTGTGTGATGCAAACATTTCCTGCTAGCAAAGCAGCATAAGTTTTCTTTTAAAATGGAACCAATTTTTTTCAACAAATTGTGTATGTCTAAAATGATCTCGAAAGAGGTAAGAAACTTCAGTTATGAAATTGTTACTGTGATTGTCATTTTTTAATTTTGCATTGATATTTATGCTACATATTTGCTCTCTCAATTTTTGAAAATTCAAGGCCTCTCGAGTAAGATGAAAAAGTTTCTCCATAAAGAAGCTTTTAAACTCTCCTTTAATTTCTTTTAGAAATATTCTGTACACCCGCCCTTTGAGGGCAAATATGCGTATCTTGCCAATAAAAAAATTGCAATTCATCCGTCATATTTTTGTTATCCTAGAAACCAATATTTTTAAAAACTCAGTAACTTCCTAAAATGAAGGAGACTTTACTATGAAAATTGCAGGAACTTTTTAGACTTACAGCGGACTTCTATATGAGATAAAAATTAGGTCAGAGGAATGTAACTTCCTCATTGAAGTTTCACGTGCCTAAAAAGTTCAAATGAATGTAAATAATTTAATACAGAAATATCATCTTTAGTTTAAATTAAAATCAGAAAATTCAAACTTCCTGTTCCTGAAAAAATCATTACAATTGAAAAGCAACCTGCAAATAACTTTATCTTTCTTTCAAATCCATTGCCTACCTCCTTTGCCATGTTGCACTTCAAAAATTGATAAGAAGAAAAATATTGATATGCTGAGAAAATAATTAAATAGCAAAATATACTGATCGCAATGTAGTTAGCTGCTTTAGTGAATTCTGATTATTTGGTGAGCAGGAAGTTTGCGATAAGGAGTCCAGAAAAAACTCATTTTCTGTTTATGACTAAAATATGGAACATGAGCTTACAAGGAATAAGCATGTGATGGAACACCTAATACCTTACGTTGTCTGCACTCATCTGTACTAATACAGAAATACACCTGGTACATTTTGATCCCACTTGTCAAAACGGAACATGTACCATTCGTTGGTGGTAGTCAAGAAAAGAGCAATTAAAAAAACTGTCAACCAGAAATAACCTGGACTACCTACTTCACATTTTTACTGCAGCATACAGTCTTGGGTAAATGTGAGCATCCCAAAATTTTCTAGCCAGAGACATCATGTTGTCACAAAAAATTGGATCAAATTGTTCCCTCACAATTTTCACAAGTCGAGGACTATTATTACTTTTACTGAAGGAGGGGTCAGCCACACAGAACAATGTTTCCCTATAATCTGACATGAACATTTGCAACTGCATCTGACCCCTAAATTTCTTGGCTGGTTTTTCTCCAGACTTATCAAAGTACCTTTTATAAGTTTTTTTGGAAATAGGACACTTTACTTCGACAATGTACTTTCCTAAATAGGCATCTGGAGAAGCACCAAATATTGGGTGCTTCCTCTTTACAATTACTCCTCCTCTACTCATTTTTTCATTTTTAAATCTTTTTTGAACAGCGTTCAAAACTATTGGTTCTAGGTCACTGCCCCTTTTCATGGCCTTGGTTTCCTTGAAAGGGACCGCGCCTAGAATCAAATTTACAAGGCTGATGCCTCCAGAACTTCTCGAAGCTTGGTGAATATTTGAGCCTGTGACTCTACCTTGTCTCACTTCAAACCAGAGGCTTGATTTCGACTGCCCAGCAGATGCAGCCACCAAAGCCTCACATTCAGCATCGGTCATTGAATTTTCACAAAATTCAATGAAACCGTCAGGGCTGTGAGGCTCTGGAGTCTGCACATACTTCAGCATGAAGTGAAACAAGGCATATGTCGATTGCTCTTCACAGTGACTTCTTAAAATTGAGGGGCTACATTTCCTCAAAGCTTCAATCGAGGCGTTGAAAAATTCTTTTTTCACTTCCTCCGACAGCGTCACAGTTGAGGGTGGATGAATTTCCTCAATTCTCAAAGCTTTCATGGAGCCGCCAACTTTAGACAAAGTTGAATTTCTCCAGTAGCACTCCACTGATGTTCTTGCCGGAGTCTCGCTTTGTCGATGCAACCAGCAAACAAACGCTACCACATGTTTGCAACCATCTAAAATAGAGTAAAAGGGGAAATAAAATAAATGCTTGCTAAGTGAAATCAAGCCCTTCACTGATTTTCATGCTGAAATGCACAGATCCTTTTTATCGTGATTATTTGACAATTTTATTGAAACGTTTCCAGATTTTGAAGGAATAACTCATCATATTCTGATTGGACGTACATACCTATACCAAAACAGATTATATATGAATGAATTAAATAAAAAATAAATATGTGTGCACAGCCCAGATGCTTGTTTTCTACATACAGTAATTTATTTTTACTTAGTTTCTATAGTATGAATGCGTCAAATTGTGAACATAGCTTTTTGTTGAAAATATTTTCATAGAAAAATTGTCCACCAAAAAAAAAAAAAAAAAAAAAAAAAAAAAAAAAAAAAAAAAAAAAAAAATTCACTGAAGCTATCAAGATAAGGGATTCTTCTTGGACCATCTGTCTGCGTGGTATTCTTTTAGGTCCCTCTTCCTTTTCTGTTAACATATTATGGTCAATTTAATGACCCACTTCAATCCCTATGTCAAGGCTGTTATTGACAGTCTGTAGATAGTTTATGGATGGACCTTAATCAATAAATGGACCGCGTTAAACAGAAAGGAACCAAGCCACATCAGCTATTGCCAAATTTGATCGGGCATTTTAATTTTTTACACAAAAACGGTTGTGCGGATTTTCTTTGGCAAATTTCAGTGAATTTTTACCATAATACGAAGCAAATTCCTTGAAATTTACGAAGAAATCTGCATAGACATTCTCTCGTAAAAAATGTAATTTCCCTGTTAAATTTGGCAATAGCTAATGTGGCTTGGTTCCTTTCTGTTTAACGCGGTCCAAGTATGCAACATAAGATTTTAATGCTCAGGGTAAATTGATACAAAATCAAAGAAGTTTCAATGAATAATCTGGGAGCCAAAACATACATTCTTGTTGAAAATGACATATAGTTCTTTATGTCCTGACTTCTATAGATTCTTGAGGTTTTGCGGAGGGTATGTAATTCAAACATGTGACTGCACTAAACAGCCGTTTTCATTTGTTCCATTCAACAGCTTACCTACAGGAGTGTTCTTACCTCATGCAGTAAAAAAAAAAAAAAAAAAAATCCTAACTTTGGCAAGAGGCCTTGTTAGTTTACCTTCACTAGCGGGGCAATCTTCACAAATTGTCTTCAGGATATTCATTCTCCTCTCATCAATGAGACAGTGCACAGGGTATGGTTTGATTCGCACCTTGTGTTCAGGTGTCATATCGGCTTTGACATGGCAGAGCCAGGGAATGGTTTTGTCATTGGTGTCTGTGGGGATTTCTCTCTTGACTTGCACATAGCCAATAGCTTTATTAGAATAGGAATCTCTGGCAGATCTGGGAGGAAAAGATGAACAAATTGATGGGATAACTGAGGCGTTATGGAATACATAAAGTTGATGGTGTCTGAATTTTCTTATAACGATAAAGTTCATAAATTTTCAGTGTGTTTCGGTACTTACGATAAGTTACAGACCTGACAGGAAATGCTGATAACCTTACCATATAGGTAACATCTAAAATAGTGAAAGAGAGAACTCACTTGACCCATTCCAGTTGAATTGTCAAAATCAGCTGGCTTATAAGGAGGCAGCTTTGCAAAAAGTTTACCAAATCATGAATAGTAGATGTTTCCCAGAGTTTGATGCTAAAGTGTCCTCATCAAGATAGCTGTACATAGAGAATTTACATCTATCCCATACTACTTGACAGGAACATTTGTCGCAACAATCATTGGCTGTGAGTCTCAGGTTCAATACCTGTAATAATAAAATTTTGTAATTTAGCAGGAGACATGAGCTTAAAAATGACTAAGCCATGCGCTGATGGAGGCTGACAACACAGAGGAGGCTGATGATAAATTTTTCTTCTTGATTGAGAGGGTTTCTCTCTTTTCGTGATCAGACATTCTTCAAGGTGGAGTTGTTGCCAACTAAGTTTGTGCATTTGTAGCCTGTGAAAGGAGATCTACCATCCAGATTCTTCAATTAACCTAACAAGAAGAAATTACGACAAACAATCTTCTGTCACAGTCTAAAAGTGCACAAACTAATTTGGTGTGGACTCTTACCATAGTTCAATGGTAAATGTTGGCTGGCAGACGTATTACATAATAAAGTCTCTGTTGATAGATAAATGTTGACACCTCAACTAATGTGTACTAAATGTTGAAGAATTTAGAGCTACGGATGCGGTGTCACGGCACTTGAAGAACACTGAGGACGTATCAAAAAAGAACCATCTTGAAGCAATGTTAACAAGTGTCAAAAGTTGACGTATTCTTGCATTCAGATTGAGGTTCCACAATACTCGACGTGGAATATTTTCCATGTTGAAATATAGTAGGTCCGAACTTACCTAACAGTTTTCCAATTCCTCATTTCAGGGGACAAAAACGATGGTGTGGAGAAGAACTGGGCAAGCATGATAGAATCAACTTTTGGCAGATTTTGATCTGTGCCCTTTTCGAAATCACTGTCAACTTTTTTACCCATGATTTAAGAACACGTAACACTTCTTACAGTCAACAATTTAAAAACACTTCACTTGACGATTTGCAAACACGCACAAAAATGATTGCCTTATCAGTTATCAGCTACCTCATAAGTCATAACCTCAAGGGACAATCGGTTGAACGGCAGAGCAGAGGTAGCCTTTTTCCAATGCCTCGACGATGTGTGGTCAAATCTCAGGGGGTAATTCCGGCGCCATTTTGGATTGCCGCTAAAACGCGGGCAAACGCGGCATTTTAAAATTTCGAACTTCAAAAGTCGTTTTCGGAGGGAAAAACTGCTCGGAAAAATCTGAAAAAATTCCTGCGTGATCAGGAGACAATGTAGTTTCTGAAAATGCAAGAATTAGAAACAGGTTAACAAGCTCATTATTTCAGTATATGGAGATATATACTCTTCGTAGAGCACATTCAGCAAAGTTCAAAACCCTTGATTTTTCATACGTTACCATCACATGATTAGTGATTATATAAATGTAATTCGTTGGTTGGTCGGTCGGTCGGCCATCTATCCGCTCCATTTTGGCCTCGACTTGAAAGCTTTTCTTGAGCTTGGAAGCTGATTTCAAAGAAAACGAGTGGCACCATCGTGTTTCTCGCGAACTTTCATATTTGAATCGATAATCAAATCACAAATTCCTCACACATGCAACATTTCCATTGCATTTATATAATCACTAATCATGTGATCGTAACGTATGAAAAATCAAGGGTTTTGAACTTTGCTGAATGTGCTCTACGAAAAACAGCCTCCAAATACTGAAATAATTACGCGGTTTTCTGTGATGTTAGACAATAAAATATGGCAACATAGGGTTTTTTTTTTTTTGGGGGGGGGGCTTTATCCATTAATTTTTTGGAGGAAGGTTATGACCAGCGTCGTACATTTTCCGCCAAGGAATCTACTTCTGGTTTAAGATGAGTCGCCCTTATTTTGCCATTTTAAATAATGATGAAAAACAAGAAAATTCTAAGAAGATCGTTTTAACTCTGAGCGCAAGGTTTGCCATCATCGAAAATTGGCCAAAGTGACTATCTTACATCCTTAATGAACATACTTGAAGGACAATATTCTCCTTCGATGATGGGATCGTTATGAAACAGCGTCACGTCAAATGTCAAGAAACCCGCATTTTTTGCCAAAATCGACCTTTAGTCCCATGTTTAGGCCAGTATTAGGTACCCATAAATAGACCGAAAATGACATAATCATGATACATTCCGCAAACTTTAGACTTTAAATGAGCGAACAATCGTAGAATTGAAGAATTTCAGGGTATGGGCCCAACAACGGCCCTTATCGAAACCCCACCTTTGGCAAATCCCTTAATATTAGTCATTTACCGGTCTGCGCCTCTAACTGGCAACAATGTCGGCAGCCATTTTCGATTCGGAGGCTTAATTTTTTATGAGAGTAAACATCTGATCTTCTATTCGAACTTCTTGACCCAATAAACTTGATTTTGAACGAATTGTTTGTTACAGCTGCCCTATATGGCAGTTTCATCCGCAAGACCGGTGGCCATATGGGGTGCCATTTTTTATTTTAGGGCTTCTTGAGAGCTGCAGCGGAGAATGGACCTCATTTTCGGACTCGACGACCCTGAAAACCTAATAATTGATACCTCACAATGCATGTAGACCCGAATAGGCAAATTAGTACCCGTAAGAGGTATTTTTGGACGCCATCTTGGATTCTGGCCTGAAAATGAACTTTGGGCTAATTTTGGACTCAAAATTCAGATTCTACGATCAAAAACACATAAGAATCGACATCCGACACGACGTAATTGCAAACTTAAAATTTTTTTACCCCAAAACCGCCATTTTGGCCGCCATCTTGAATTTGGGGGGGGGGGGTTTGTATGAAATTTGAGATGGCCATCATCGATTTTCTTTTTCTAGACATCAAAACGAAGAGATTGATGTATTGCACAATATGCCTCCACGAACCTGCACACGGAACATATGTTTTGTTACGTTTGCCCCCTGACTATATGGATTTTCCCAGAAAATTGCTAGATTTATTTACTGCACTATAAGTCTTGCACATAATTTGAGGAGCATCTCAGAAAAACTGCTGCTGGTTCCATCAACTTCAGCACCATGTCACAGTTGATGGCTACACACGTCATGTGGGATCAAGACTCAGGACATTACTTTGCAACACTGGTTTTACTAGGAAAAACCAAATGTTTTTCCAGCCTGTAACGCATTTATTCATCCATTTCAATACTACATTGCCTGCACTGAGTGGACGTTCTTAATGATATATCCAATTTGCAACATCACAATCTCTCCTAGGAGGATAGCAGTGGATATACATTTTTGAGGACGCTTTCTCATAAAAATGGTGGGAAAAAAAGACTGAACTTCACCTGAGGACCATCAAAATTATGTGGGCCTTGTGAGGCGATGGGCATTGAACAATAAAGATAGCAAGCGAGTTAAGGCACGATGATTCCACATGAGGTCCAGCTGTAAACGTACTAGCGTTCAATACTGCCGTGCTAAGGAAGAACGCCGTATGAACATTCGAGAGTTGCCAAGTCTCCTTTGATAAAATGTTTATTTTTGAGGAAAGTTATGAATATTTATCTTCTAAATTTTCAGAATCTTTAGGTGAGATCTCGAACAAATTTATGTAAAAAATTTAGAGGAAAACACTCATAACTTTACCAGGAAATTCGAGTTTTAAGAAAGGAAATTTGGCAACGCCTGAAAGCTCATACGGCGTTCTTCCTTAATACGGCAGAATAGATCACCATAGACATAAAGAACTGGGTTCCTCTAGAAAAAGAGTGCACGTATGGCAAAGAGAGTAGCAAGTGTCAAAATTTCGAAGTTGAATTCCCTTCAAAATTCGTTCAGTCTCTTTTAGATGAGATTACTGAAATAGCTAAAACAGCAAAATTGTCCTTAATTGAATAAAAACGAAACATGTGAGAAAGTCGTGTGCAAACAATGATGTAGTTTCAGGCAAGACAGCAGTAGGTAAAAGCCATTATTCCTCCAGAGGGCCAATGAAAACAGTGCTTTCAAGTAAAGTGCCGGCCTCTTCTGTCAATTTTTGACCTGAAAATGTGTTTGTTGTTGTGTCCAAACTGCATCCACAAAACCATGCAGAAAATGGCACTAATGGCTGTCTTGCCTAACATTAAAATGAAAAATACCCCATTTACGTAACTGTATGAAATGAAATCAGTCGATTTTTAATCATCCAAACAATTTCTGGGAACGTTTCGGATGATTAGTGGTAATATGACAAAGAACGGAGACTTCTTTCAATAAAATTTTCCGGTAAGACGCTTCTGAGCCCATTTTCTATAAACTTCATTTTTACACTTAAGAGCTGCTCTCTTCGCTATCACCGCAGATATGTAGTGCTTTATTATCATTGCACTACCAAAGTGAATAAATGAGCACATTGCTCTCTCTCTCCCCCAAATAGCATTCAGTTGCAACCACGCATTTAACTTGCCTTGATTACTTACAATGAGAATCGGGAAACTAATAACAATTTAGAGTTTCAGGTCATGGTAAAAGAAATCGCTGTTTCAGCCGAAAGAGTCATTTGCATAAATGAAAGATTGAGCCATGGCTTGGCCTCGAATAAAGGGACGCATCTGATGAGGAGACTGGTTTATCCATCAATACTAGAGCTTGCTTCTTGCGTAGGCAAAACTAAGCTTCTCTCATCTGCATAATTAGCGAATTTCATCACAGGCATATGATTTCTTGGACTCAAGCATGAGCTATTTTCTCATACTGCCTAAAAGGTAAAGTTCGTCGTATTTTTGACCAGGTCAATTTGATGAAGCATACTATCAAAGGTGGAACTTCCGAATGACGAATCTCCTTGGCGGTGATCAGATGTCGACTCCAATTATACTTTCTTAAAGGAGAACAAATCATTATCATTCCTTGAAGTTCACAGAGAGTTTTCTTTGGACAGTAGAAAATAATCACAGAAGTTTTCAAGAATTAACGAAGAGTAGTTCTCTATTCCGAGAATAAAGTAATACAAGAAGTTTGCAACATCCCAAACCGAGATTTGTGGTCTGGTAGTTTCACCACCGATGTGCCAGCTGGACTGCCACTGTACCCAGAGATGAATCACCGTACAAAATAGTTAGTTAAAATGATGGAAATGCTGGAGGAGTTTCCGGTGGAAATGTTAAGAGATAAAATTGCAATAATGTAAAAATTATACGGTGAGGTCTCGATACATAATCCAATATTCCTGAACCAATTACCATCAAAGTGTCGGGAGTGTTTAGTCTAAAAATAATTACTTTGCTTGGTCATAAAATGAAAACATTGAAGAAATGTTTCAGGCGGTAGGAAATGATGAACAGTCCATTCTGATTAAAATTGAACGGGCCATAATATTTAGATTAAAGAGGAGTGTTATGGTGACCATCAATCATCAACAGGCCTACTTTGATCAGAACTGTTTCGGAATTTGAACATTAATCCAGACCTGTACACCTCTACCTTTGAGATACTTACACTTAGACTTTTGTTTGCCACTTTGAGAGCATCATCCAGAAGAGTTTGCGCAATGAATTTACTATTCACGTCGCTTATGATATGCAAACGAAGAGACTGCGTGCTGGTACAGAAATGCAAGAGAGAATGCATGAAATTATGGAGCTTGACTGCAAGGGGCTCATTCAAGGACTTGACTTTGGTGAAGATAAACCAAACATCATTGAACTGTGCAATCTGTGCATGTTCGACATCCAGAACTAGATCCAATCCTACGGTGGATGATACCATATCAGTGTCATTGTAAAGATTCCGCTGAGAGAATCTTGAACTTGGAAAATAATTACTGAAATCACCATTAATAAAAGAGAGATAGCAAATCACAAGAAAACTCACAAATGTCATTAGATTCCGTACAAGTTTAAGAGATAACCGCATTAATGTACACTACAGTGTTGCACAAACATTTTGTGAAGAGTCCTTCCATAACTCTAAAAAAATCACGCTAAATTGGAAAAATAAAAGAATATGGAGAGATATTGCGCTTCTTGTAAGTATTAATGCGGCAAAGACACAGAGACGGTGCCGGACACGGGAGCTGTCGGGTTCAGCACCCGTGTGAATCTATCAGAACGCCATCAGAACGCCTACATACTAAGCGACCAGGACTCGCTGAACCGTACCGAGGAAGCCGTGCGCCGTAACTTAGTTCCGCCCGCCGCCGCTGCGACGCTCACGCTCTGTGCGCCTCACAACCTCCTGCGACGTACTCCACTACCACTGTCTCATTGATAATTTTCATGCAACGATTCATGAAAAATAATCGAACGTTACCGACTCGCGGGATTCCAAACAAAATGTCAACCCCCCCCCCCCCCCGATCCATTGACGAACATAATACCCTCCACCGGCCACATCAGAACGCTCCTTTAGCCGTTTCATGGAATCACAACTATGTGAACTAAGATAGCGAATGTAAAAAAATGGCCCTTCAGATTTCCCTGAAACTTTTTCAGGGACTCCAGGCCGATCCCTGGTGGACAAAAATATCATTCGCAAAGAGGAGAATCGATTCCTTCGACCCGCTCCGCGTTGCCGAACTTACGTTCCGCTCCTTCCATTGAGCCAACGGTTTGGCCCCCTAAGAACACGAATTATAAAAAATTGGCCCTTCAGATTTCCCTGAAACTCTTTCAGGGGCTCCATACCGATCCTTGGAAAAGAAAAACATCTTTCGCTACGGGAAGAATCGATTCCTTCGGCCCTGAAATCTCGTTCTTGCCGCCATCAGAACGATTTTTGAGCCGTTTCACGGGACCTATGCAATAATCGCGAATAAAAAAAAATGGCTCGTCAGATTTCCCTGATACTTTTTCAGGGGCTCCATACCGATCCTTGGAAAAGAAAAACATCTTTCGCTTGGAGAAGAATCGATTCCTTCGGCCCTGAAATCCCGTTCTTGCCGCCATCAGAACGATTTTTTAGCCGTTTCACGGGACCTATGCAATGATCGCGAATAAAAAAAAAATGCCTCATCAGATCTCCGTGATACTTTCTCAGGGTTCATTATATCCCAGTTATTATAAAGATATATCGTTCTTTTTTTATGACCTACATTTGGACCGAGTTTAACAGAAAGGAACCAAGCCACATCAGGTATTGCCAAATTTAACTGGGCAATATAATTTTTGACGAGAGAATGTTTGTGCGAATTCCTTTGAGATTTTCAAGGTATTTGCTTCAAACTATCGAAAATTCTCACTGCAATTTCCACGGAAATTCGCAGAACCGTTATCACGTAAAAAATAAAATTGGCCAATTAAATTTGGCAATAGCTGATGTGGCTTGGTTCCTCTCTGTTTAACGCGGTCCATTAGTCAACTCAGGGCTTCAGGATCGATGCTCTTTGAGCGAAAATTCCCGAAAATTACGAGGTCGTCCCGTCTGCAATAGATAGATATTTCTTCGAAATCTACCCAAAACGCTGTCCATATGAGCATTAAACAAGCTATTTTAAATTTCAACATAATGTGTTTTCGTAAGAACCAACGTAAAATTAAGTCGCAGCTCTCACAATTTGCACAGCACTGTATTAAACTCACGAGTCGAATAGAGCGAGTCGAATGAGAATGATGCGTTTTCGTAACGGCTAAAAGTAAAATTTTCTCGGTGGAGGATGGCCCGGCGCAAGAACAGCTGAGTCGGACTGCGAGGATTTCGGCGTTGCCATGCGGCGCCCGAGCTACTGACTCATCGAAGAGGTGCAAAGGAAAATAACGAGTACAAGTCTGAGACTGATGTTTCGAGGTTTAGAGACAATTTAGCATTATCCTTTGCAGATTTAAATCAAATTTCTCCGGCGAAAAGGCCTCCTACCGTTTTTATTGTGTTTTTAGTGTGATTTTATTGGTACTCAACAAGTCTGTGCCAATGTTCCACAAGTTTTTACTATACATACTTTTATAATTTTTTATTTTGATGATAGAAATACCCCCCCCCCCAATCAAGTAATTTTTTTCGGTGGGAGGGGGGGGGTGTCATTAAGGAATTAGCTTTAAGAGTAGTTCCGCAAAGGCCGCAGAGTGCACGCAGACACCCTGAGTAATTAGGTACAAATCGTTACCTGCTAAATGTAACGATTATTGTTCTTGATTTTTAAAATACGGAATTTCAGTGCTACCGCGATGCAGTCGTCCATACTACGTTACCAAGGAATGAGGCGGTATGAACATTCGAGAGTTGTCATATTTTACTCATTGGCGGATCTAGCGATTTTGCAACACCGGGTTTCCTCCTATTAAACCTAGAGTACCTATATAGCGAGAGTATGGACAGATCGTTTCATGGAGGGCTTAGGGCCCAAAAGTGCAGCCACCCTTCTAACCAACTTCTAACGCACAAAATTTCACTGCCAGTCTGCACATTCCAATTCTAACCAAGATGGCTAAGAATGTACATAAATGAGCGTTCTAGCGCAAAAATGAGTAAATTTATGCAACAAGTAAGTCAAATACGTGCTTTATTAACGATGGTTCGTAACAATTGTATTAGTAAAGCGCTCTGGATAATTGAGATTCATAGGTTGGCTGCATTTCTGGGCCCTAACTTTATTCGCGGAGACATCGGTGAAGGCCTGATGGACTTTCGGAGTTTCACATCTGTCTATACTCTCGCTATACAGGTACTCTAATTAAACCTATGCCGGAGCACCTGGCCTGGCCCCTCCAAAAATCGATACATTTCCATAGGTTTAAAAGGAGAAAAACAATGTTGCAAAATTGCTACATCCGCCTCTGATTTTACTGCGATAAAATGTTAATTTTTGCAGAAAGTTACATGTTTTTTTTTTGTTGAAATGTTCACATTTTTTAGATTATGTTGTAAATAAAATGGTCTGAAAAATTGGAGGCAAATTATGCAGAATTTTTCCAGTAAATTCGTCTTTTACGGGACAAAATTTGGCAACGTCTGAAGACTCATACGAGGTTTTTCCTCAGCACGGCAATATAGCAATCGAGGATTGACGGCAGCAAATCGCGAGCAACGCCGCCGCCGCGCCGCCTTGCGCATGCAGAGACGCAAATCCGTCAAAAGAGAGCGCCTAGCTACCAACTCAGCTAACAACTCCTCTATCATTTTCTACATTGGATAGGATTCATAGGATTATTTCATAGGATATTCAAAACATGGGCTTAGTGGTGATTTATATATCCTACGGATATCCATAGAATGTCCACAGATATCCTATGGATGTCCGTAGGATATCCAAAAATCACGGATATTGTACGGATATCGACAGCATATTGTGTGCTTTCTAGGAGGGTATAGTAAGTGGGCTAGAGGTGTCACATTAGTTGAGTAATCGATTACTGAAATTTCTGGATGACAGAGAGATTTATAATAGATTAATTAATAATCGAATCGAAATTCGATTCGATGATCGAATTAAATAATATTGATAAATAGGCATATTTTGGAACGGTAAGAATAATACCTGTCAGGCTTCTCAGCAGTATGCAAAATCTCATGAAACTGAATATATAATGTTTAATTTAGTGTTCATTGTACCTAAGTAACAGTAAAATCTTAATTTTGAGAAAACAAATCACAGGTCAAATTTTCATGTTCCTTAACGAACTCTCGAATAAATATTACTGGTTGCATGGGCGGCCCCTGAAAAATTGTTGGAAATGAATGTTAATGTTAAACGAGATTCTAATTGGTATCTCTGGCTCCCAGTTGTAGAGTAGCATTTTTTATGCATCGGAGAAGTAAAAAGTACGTGTATTGAACTTTTTTTATGGTAATGTAGAAAATTTTGGCACAAAAATTATTTATTTCCTAAATTTTGTCGGTTAAAATAGCAAGTCTCTATTTTCCGCTAAATCGGGAGTAATTAATAAATTAAATGCCTAATCGAAATTTTGAGAACTGATTAATTAATCGCATCGAAAGACATTCGATTCGTTAATTAATTAATGAATCAAACTAGACGTCTACCAACCGGCCAACTGGTGATTGATGCATACAGGATGAAATGACTTTTGTGCACTCATACTTTCCCCAATTCCAGTAGAGGCGAAGTAAGTCGTAACTGGTTTTCCGTAAAAAGTTCGTCCTATTCATTTTACCTTTAGTCGGTCAAAATGTTGGCAGNTTACCTGCTGATCCAGAATATTCTCAGAATATTCTCTGAATATTCAAATGCTGCCCAAAAAGTCGGAACATTGTCAGAATATTCTCCGAACTTTTTGTGCTATCTGGGAGGGAAATCTGTTACACGCGTTTCAATGGGAGCGGCAACTAAGGAGCGGAGCGACGCCGCGGCGTCCGCGGCGTCACGGCGCTCCGATCTGTCGAGAACAGATCGGAGCGGAATCCCTCGGAGATTCCGCCTCGTCCGCCGAGGTTTTCGATGATTTTTCATGTCTATGTGCCGAAACGTGGATCGCGGTGGAGAAACCAATGGAAAATTGCGGGCCATCGTGACTTATTGGATTCATGAAAGAAAAAAATTTTTGCACGATATCAACGCATGGCAATCCTACCTCGTACCAGGTGCAAATAATACCACACAAATAGGTAAAAGAAACACGACACCTTTTTTCCAAGAAATAAATCTATAAAAACAAAACGGAATAACTATTTTATGGCTTTTTGGCATCCGAACAATTGATTTATACGTTGCTATATATCTATAGAGAAACCTGATCGACCAATCTTTTTTTTGAACATCATGGCTGAAAGTAAAAAAATGGGTGTCTTTGCTTGCAATGTTGCAACTCTCTGCTCAAGCTTTATTCGTTAATTTGAAATTATTGATAGGGAGCTTATCTTGAACTTTTTGTAAACATTTTATTGCTGTATGTTGGAGTTTTTTGCCAACGTGCGTTGAAAATTGTTTTGCTCATGGGTCTTTGTTTACAAAGGGATATTTTGACTGGTATTCTCGTAAAAAATATTAGAGCTTTTGAAACGTGGTGAATGTTCATCGTAGCAAGGCACAACACACCTACACTCGTGAGTTATCATCGGATACTGATGACGAGACTGAAGACGGACGCGGCGGAATTTTGGAGGCGATTCCGCTGCTTAGTTGCCGGGCACGGCGGAGCGGAAACAAA